TTGGATAAATAAAAAAAGTAGAAGAATTTTTTTTTAGAAGTAATTTTTGTAATTTAAAAAAAATAAATCGGAAAAAATTTTTTTTTTTTAATTGGATAATTTGGATGTGCGCAAAAAAATTCTTGCAGATCGAATTTCGAACACTGCATATGATAGTAATAGAAATAGGTTGAGTCAAATGCGATTAAGAGACTTGGGAATTGAGCAAATTAATTTTGACATGAGAGAGAATTTATTGTCAGTATTTTTTTATTTTACTATTACTATTACATGTGAATGATCAACATTACAAAAAAAATTTCTTTTTTTAATATAAATAAAATTTAATTAATAAAACAATAAAAATATATAAATTATTACCAAAAAATAATTTTACTTTACAATTAAATATCATTCATCATCTTCTGAGTCAATAATTGAAAAAGGCTCTGTTGAAGAAGTTGTTTTTGGTAATAAAGTTGTTTGAGAAATGGGCGTAGAAATGGGTATTGTGTGACTAATTGTAGAGGAATTATTGCTATCAGCAGATTCAACTTGATCATTGGAAGATGTATTGGAATCCGATGGAGCCTCTGGAACTTTGGGTTCTTTTGACAAAGTAACAGTAATAGATTTTCCTTTGTGTTTGTTATACATTTCATCATATTTTTGTAAAGTTGTTGATAAGTTATCATTTAAAATCAAAAGTTTCTCTAAAAAATCATTGATATCATTTATATCGTTGAAAGAAAATATTAAGTTTTTTTTTTAAAAAATAAATGACTTTATATTATTTGATTAATAATGATTCTCACCAAGTAAATTCTTTTCAATAACAGATGAAAGATATGGTGTTATTTTTGTTTGAAGATTTTTACATTCATCATATAATTGCTTTTTTTAAAAAAATAAGGTTTTTAGTATCATTATTATTATAATAATTAAAATAAAATCATGATGTGTATATATGCAAATACCATTATAACTTCATTTGGAATTATTTGATTGTTATTATTATTATTATTATTACTATTTGATTTTGATTTTGATTCATCATTATTTTCTTAAAAAGTCTATAGATTAATCTTCAATCAAATTTTTTCTTTATAGACTTTAAAAATTCTATGCCATAGTTTACTTGTGAATGATAAATTGGCATATCTCAATTTGGCCAATAATAGAAGAATAAGATCCAATGGTTTTAATTATATAGCAATTTATATTAAAAAGGTAAATTATTCACCAATAATTATAAATGTTCTTCATCATATAATAATAATTTGTTAATGATGATTATAATTAATTTTTCTTGTAGTCTACAACTTTGACATATCTTGATCTTTCTGGAACAAATATTGACAAAAAATCTGCTACTTTTTTAGCACAAGCTTTAACACAAGGAAATAGTAAATCTGGTGCTATACTAAAAACACTCAAGTTAGATAATTGTGCACTAAAGAACAATGTTTTGGAAGTTTTGGGTATGTATTATT